AATATTATAAAGGCAGGGAGATGTGTGACCAACATAGTAAAATCCATGTTTGTTTTATGATAGTCCCTTCTAGGTGGCCTTGGTGTGTTTATATTATTGTGGCTTTGGATTATCCCGCGTTTATTTGTTACTTGCCAATTATGGTTTGATAATACAGCAAAATACGCACATTATAACGTATTTAATATCCAAAGCCAAGATTAATACGGCTTGGAAAATTTAATCTTGGATAACCTATTTAAAGATTTTCAACTATTTGAGTTTCTGGCATATTCTTTATAATGTCCTACCATTAGGCTACAAATGCAAATGTCAACTGAATTTCTAGATTTTAATTGATAAAGCGTTCCATATACAGGTAGACAGTTTAATGATGCTTAATTTTCTGGGCGATTGTAACCCCCACCAAGTCATCCAAAACCAGTCCAAAACCGATTATAAAGTAGCCTCATGACAGCCATTAAAACTACTGCGCGCAGACTAATTATGAAGCAATTTTTTCAATGTATTTCAGAGCGTCGATGTTTTATATTTTCTCGGGGCGACATGCCCCCGACCCCAGATTTCAGCCCCTTAAGTTAAAATAGCTTCCTTTACTGTCAATGCCTGGGATATTTGAAGTCACTTGCTAAACTTTGAGCACGAATTTTTCACAAGGCTTTGGGCGTATGATGTGTTCAGTAACATTCACACCGTCACAAGTTTTGGTTAATATTTTTATTTGAACCATACGTGGCAAAATAAACAGAAATTTCTAATATAAAAGGACCCGCCCTATCACTGACTACACCTACCCTTGATTTCAGTTTTTTACACAGCAGTGTATATTACCATTTGATGATAGGTGCCTGTGTTATTTTTTCATGATCTTGACATTATACTGGGACTGGGTAATAATGCTCTTAACATTCAAGTGAATGAACCAAATTAGTCACGCTCGTCTGCACGCTACCTCACATCATAAGGCAGAGCAAATATACCTGCTTTTAAAATAGATCAGACACCTAGGTTTCCAAATACACAATCGACCAAACCACAAAAATACTACAGAAGCCTTAGCATGAAAACATTAGGCTATAATGCGCTATCAGTTTAAATCTGAGCCAAAAATATGACCCTGTGGTCTATAATAACATATCTAACAGTATTTGAATGAAAATCTCAATTCGCCTAAATTAGCATTTTATGCGCAAATGCGCAACAACAAGAAACACATACCTGAATCAGAAATGCGCAGCCAAGGCAAGCCACAAGATGTATATTCCATTTCATACTACAGCCGTTCCTCAAGCTTTCTGGTGTACATATACCTGTGGTTTTAACAACAAAAGTTGGATAAACAATGAACCAGTCAATGATGTGCTAATTAAACCGATAACAACGAGACGATATAATCAGGCAGACATCATTCATACCTCGGGTTTTGTTCGTTCCAAAAATTTGCGCTTTCTTCAAAAAATGCGTCAGGTTTTTGGAAGCCCGCTTTGCGCTGCTTACCGGCAAGCTGGCGATGTTGGTCTGCGCTCAAGTAATGCATGACAAGCGCTTTTCTATGCCATGCATCGGAATTAGTTATCATCGAGTGTTAAGGTAATCGGATCTCACCGGAAATGTTATGAATAAGCGAAATCCGTGAGAATATTTGGCACGTTGGCAACGAATATTGGAAAGGTTCGAGACAACCAGACGCGCGCATTTAGTATGCAGACTGTTCGGGAAAAATGGCGATTAGATTGAATTCGTATTGCTTTGTTAGAAAATATTTAAAACTGCTTATTCACATTTGAAATGCAGAATTGCTGGCATATAGTGGTTAATGCATAATAATAATAATTTATTCCAAACAAACTGCCGCAGACAAATTATAAGATAATACTGATAACACCTAAGCCTACCCTATATTACATAATTGTACGATTGTAGGAGATCAAAAGTTGCTAATATGCCAGTATTTAGAAGAAATTTTAAAAATATTTTTATCTTGCATTTTTATCTTGTAAATTGAATAACACAAATATATTTGTGATTTTGTGTGTGTGTGTGTGTGTGTGTTGGTGTTATGTCAGGTGAATATGATATTTGTGATGTTACTCTAAGTGTGCATCCACATCGGGCAAGCTGAACCGACTAGATCAGATCTCGTAGCTCAGTTGGTAGAGCAGTGGACTAGTTAGTATCCCAAAGGTCGCGGGTTTGATTCTCACCATGGTCAGGCAAACTTTTCAGCTTGCCCGGTGTACATGCACACTCAACTAACATCACAAACAACAAATAATATACTAATTTTATACAAGCAGCAAGCTCTCGACGAAAGTCGGTATCCCACACTGCATTTCTGCATACTTTTTTTCAGACCACAATATTTACATATGGCATGTGTTTTACATTTTGTGGTACTGACAGAGCTATCTAGTGTAAATCGATATTTTCAATGGTTTACAAATCCTACAGATCACAATATTTACATATGGCATGTGTTTTACATTTTGTGGTACTGACAGAGCTATCTAGTGTAAATCGATATTTTCAATGGTTTACAAATCCTACAGATCACAATGTTTACATATGACATATGTTTTACATTCTGTGGCTACCACAGGTACTGACAGAGCTGTCTAGTGTAAATCGATATTTTCAATGGTTTACAAATCCTACAGATCATATGTTTACATATGACATATGTTTTACATTCTGTGGCTACCACAGGTACTGACAGAGCTATCTAGTGTAAATGGATATTTTGAATGGTTCAAATCCTACAGATCACAATGTTTACATATCAGATCACAATGTTTACATATGACACTGATATGTTTTACATTCTGTGGCTATATGTACTGCATATATATATACCCCAATAGAAATATCCAAACGTATAACGCTATGATGGCTTGTGGGCATAACAAGCAAGATGTTTCTATCCCGACCGAGGAATGTATAAATATCTCATTCTGGTAAATACCTCATTCTGGTAATCTGCATGGTAAACGTCACCCACACTAGGTGACATATGCTTACAAAAAAAGTGTGTTTGCGTTCTTCCTCGCCACAGAACGGAAAAGGCCAAAGGGCGTTGTTTTCCGCAGATGTGGGAGTTGCAATGGGGTATATTATGAATCAAACACGCACAATGCGGTGCGCGTTTGTTCAAACACGTCTGTGGGAAAAGATAATGATAGAACAACGTGTTATTTCTGGCATTTTCTGCATTACAAAAAGGTGATGATTATATTCTTTGCCATCCCACATTTTGTTCCAAGCTAGCATGCGTATGCCCTCGCCGTTTCCCTCGTTCTTTTCATGTCACCTTCGCCCCCCATCCCCTAGCGACTCACGCTAGTACCAAGCCAACCGTTGAAGAGATTTATAGATGGAAATTTGCAGTGTAATTTGCATACATTTATTATAGATCGGACAAAGAACAGTTGCGAAAATTTCAACAACATATTGGCCGTCTGGCAGGAATCCAAACTGCGGTCCTGCGATTCCGTTGCAGCGCTCTAACCAACTGAGCTACAGAAAGACAGTTGTCGAGCTACAATCTACCTGAGTACAAATCTTTGGAACGATTCCAAAAGCGCGCAATGAAGATCATCTACGAGTATGATATTTCTTACGATCGTGCACGGGAACAAACAGACATTAGCAAACTTTCTGAGTGTAGACAACAATGGATCTTTCCCCTTATAACTAAAATTTTGATCTAGACAACATTTCATCACAGCTTGAAAGAGCATCACAAAATTAGTAATATTCCAAAGTTTCGTTGCGAAATGTTGTAAAATGCGGATAATATAGCCTTGCGAAGTTTGCAATTTTCAGTCATTTTGTATTACGCATGGGAAATTGACAGCCCAATCGGGTGTTGGGGCATCAATTTTCCGTTTGTAATACAAAAATGACTGAAAATTGCAAACTTCGCAGGGCTATATTATCCGCATTTTACAACATTTCGCAACGAAACTTTGGAATATTACTAATTTTGTGATGCTCTTTCAAGCTGTGATGAAATTTTTGTCTAGATCAAAATTTTAGTTATAAGGGGAAAGGTCCATTATGTGGCAACTTTAGTTTAACAATGTAGTATCAAATCCTGCAGACAGATTACACGATCTCGTTCCATACAACGTGAACCCGCAGGCTCATCCACGGCCTACGGGTGTGATATTTCTTGAGAACACACATAAATTGGCAAACTTTTTGGCCCATGCGGGTTCACTTTAAGGCGCATTTCCATTCGGGAAAATTTTGCGCAGAAAGAAAATTCTGTAAAATGTGATTGGCCGGCACAAATTTTTCGTCGGAAAAAGTTTTTGAAAATTTTCAACTTTTAACAATTATATTTTCGGAAACTTTTCTATCCGTGGAAAACTCCCTTAATAAATCCTTCGTATCCTGCACTAATGTAAATTTTATATCCTTTTTAAATTCAAGCTGTGAGAAGGGTTTTCATTAATATCTCCAGTCTGACCTTCATTCAGTGTGAACGGAAAAGGCGGGGTAATCGCCTTTTTCCGTAGAGGCGGGATCTCGTAATGGGTGCAGGGCTAATGTAGTATTATAGCGGACATCAGAAAGCACAATACCAGGATATACTGGGTAAGCACATTATCGTTGATGCTGTAAAAATTGACGCCATATTTATACAGCAATAAAACTTACTGTACTTCAGACATCATTTTCTCTTTGGCGTACCATCTAAAATCTCTTCATTTTAGCATTATTTTACAGATAAAGCACTAAACATACTTTTTAAGTTTGTTTGCCGCTGCTTGAGCAAAGTATATTCAGTAGTTTTGAGCGCGTGTTACGTAACATACAAAAGATTATCCTGTTAATACATTTGAATGGTGCCAGCAGAGAGCTAGCATATCAGAAAGGAAAGACGGTTGACCGCCGCTCAAAATCTGTAATTGAGGCAACTTGTTCCAACAATAATTCTAATGATAGTGAAACATTATACCAATTTTTTATTCACTAGCAACAATAATAAAAGTACACTCCTTATTGTAGATATTGATACTTTATTACATATATTTCTAAACCCCTAACTATAATAATTCTTCATTCACCGTATTTCTAAATAATAGCTCTTTATCTGCACATAAGAAATTGATAGAAAGTAAAACTACTTAAACTAGATAACATCTCATATCTCTGCCCAGCGACCTCTCTATATATATCTGGAGCAAGAACGTCAGTCATTCGGCCTCTAAGAAAAGTGAACCCAATATGGCAGAAATTGCAGATGTCCAAAATCGGTCGTACACAGTTTTAATCAATGATCTTTTCAGTCCCAGTTAGTCCCAGCTAATTGAGTAATTGCATTTCAGTTCCCATATTAATGGACTGTATCACTAAACAAGTTATCAGTTCAATAAACCACAATATTTGTCTTTTTAAATCGAGGTCAAAATACGAAATTTTGATATACTCCTTGGAACTTCGTGTTGATCGCGCAGACAAAAACAATAAAAAATTGGATGGACTTTTTGGACTCGAGTTCTTACTCCAGGTATACATATAGAGGTCACTGTCACTCCCCCCGCCTCGCGCCCTCCAGAAAGTCCTGGGGACAAGGTTACTGCCTTCATACAACTGTCACTTCCCGCCGGAGAGGTTCGGATCTCCGAGGGCTAATCTCGTAGACCTTGTGACCTTCCTCGTTCACACGATCAAAGGTAAACAAACCAGCTTTATCATTACGTAATAAACTTTCCGTCGGACATTCTATCCGCTCCCCCCTGAACTGGTCTTTGTAGAGCGAAGTATCTACAAAACTTGCTGATGTTTTGAAAAGTGTACTATTGTCTTTAAACATCCTCGCCGGGGGGGCCTGATGCCTTTTGTATTTATCCAAAAACTCGGAGGTTACCGCAACCGCTTCGGAACCTTCGGTGGACTTCGGAAAGATATCGTTACCATCTCGTCCATTTTGTCTTAAGGTAGCTCTCTGCGGATTGATGTGTTTCTGAAATTCCATTGAATAGCTGGTGGTCGAGTTGAACGGAAACTCCCGGCCGCGTTGCAGCTTGGTACGAGGTCGTGCAGATTTGGCGGGAATTCCCAGCCCTCCGTGATTTGAATAATCACGTGATATCGGCTTGATCTCGATTTCGCCTTCGGGTTTCTTGTACACATCCGGGGCTTTGCGTTGACGTGATGTTGTTGGCCAAACTTTGAACGAATCAGCTTGCGTAGTCTGTCGTTCCATCGTCTCATTGGTTCGAAATAAATGGCTTTCCGGTTTAAACATATGGGCGGATTTGATCGCTTTGTGGTCAACAAAATCAGCCTTGAAAACAGACGTACTTGTGAACGCTGTTTTTGGCAAGGCCTCCATTTCTGGCTGTCTCTCAATAGGTTTTCTCGGGGACGCCTATAAAGTAGAAAATAAGATGTTCACTTTTTTTGCGAAAGAAAATCTATCCCCATGGAACATATTAACTTGCTATCACTGAATTAATAGTTCCGGCATGTTCTCTGCTGTTCTCTAATGTCGTTAGTTGTTCCAGGATATGTTTTTTCTCTTTTTCTCTCCGTGTCCTCTTTCAAACACAATTCAAAACTACCTTTCCAAACTTGAATCTACCTTTGACGTCAATCGAATGCGAACTTGGAAGACATCCAAGTGTCTACCTCCTCCGCAGGCCTTTCAAAAAAAATAAAATTGGTGGGAAACGAACGGAAACTTACAGCTACGCAAGCCTTCGTCTCAAATTCCAAATTTAAACCTGCGAACCGGCATACTCATTACGGGCTGTATGGCCTGCGGAAGATGTAGTCCAAGTGTCATTGCTACAATCCAACTTGTTGATGCATTTTTCGTGTTAATATTTGTTCAAATATATCAGTGTGTTAACGTATGGCCGGATTTTGAGAGGTTCTCGAGGTGCGCACCTCCCCCGAGATCGTTTTGCGCCTCCTTTGAGAATTTTTGCACCTCCCCTGAAAAGTCATGCACCTCCCCTTGTCAATGATGGATCAAAATGAAAATTTGACATTTTTTTGGTTGCTTAGGGTCTACACTTCGTAAGAAAGTTTTTCTGTAAAATTGAAACAGTGATATAGCCATTCGTCTCTGTGTCAAGTATCCTTTTACTTTAATGTAATGTTTTGAAAGAAACTTTGCCGTAGTAATTGTAATGAAGGGCAAAATTGCCAGATGGGTTGGACACTCATAATTAATTCATTAATACACTGATACATACAGCCATTTCAATTAAGGTTGTCCACGAGCAAAGCGGAAAAGTCGAATACGAGCGCCGCGAAGGACTGCTGGGAATCGCTAACAAATTAATGAATTTTCAAAGCGATTCCCAGCAGCTTTCGCGCTCGTATCCGACTTTTCCGCTTTGCTCGTGGACAACCTTAATTGAAATAGCTGTATGTACACTACATGCACACGTCACATTGTTGACATGGAGGTCGTGAGCTACTAGCTGCACCTTCCCTAAATTATTTTCCACCTCCTCCACTATTTCCACCAAAATCCGGCCTTGGTGGTAATGTGTGTCTGTGTCTTTAAATACCATTGTTCAGCTATTGTTGTCTTTCTTGGATTGGTCTTAATATGTCCAAATGCTTTTATGTATTTACGATTAAAATTAATAAAGAGAGTGGTCTTATTTATTAGCGATCTATGAGCTCATTTATGTAGGTCTTATTTCAGCTGAATCCTGCAGTGAATTGGACGACGATGAACAATATTTAAATTTTCGTTCATTTCTTACTTTTTCAATTAAAATAATTTCACATCATGTGTTCGGATAGGATACCTCGTGATTAAATGCATGTTTCTGATTGGTAAAATTGCTTAGGAATTATTCAGAATTAGATAATTAGTCCATACCTTGAGCGCCTTATGATAAGTCTGAGTTGTAGTTTGAAAATCAACTTCTTTCCCAAAATTCAGCTTATCCGGCTGTCTTGCGCTGGGGTTTGGCAGTTGATAAAAACGTGTGAAATCCTGTCTGTGTAGCGAGGTTTCCTGAAAAGGCTTACTGGGTGGCCGATAGGGCTGTTCTCTGTGAACAGCTTGAACTCTCGCCGGCGAAGTCCAGGGCTTAAAATCATCTTGTTTAGTAGAAATATATTCCACCCTTGCCGAAGGTTTTCGCATGGTTGTGGTTTTCAAATATGGCGGAATTCTAGCGGGAATGCCATTCAGTTTCCTGTAGTGTTCATGGTGTTCTGAGACCGCATTGAAGCGATGTGGATTGGGGACGAACTTCTCGGGCTCCTTTGGTTTGGGGACTTTTACTACATGCGTGACATAGGACGTCGCGTTCGTGGTCTGGGTGCTAGTCGGACCTTCGTACCGTATTTGATCCGTCGGTCTCAGGAATGGACCTCTCTTGGGTGCGACTTCATCAAAACGTCCTCTGTATTCAGTCACATTGCACTTGTTTATGGCGTCTTTGTTGATGACTCTGTTTTGTTGCCCTAACGTGTGCGGGCAGCGATGACGGCTGGAAAAAATGAAAGAATTTCTTAGTATACAGTTATAATAGTTTTGTTTTATGCAAGTCTTGGTCTGTGGAAACAAGACGTATATCTATGCATTATTGCATAGCTTTCGACCCGTAAGCTTGGTGTCAAGATCCGCGTGACTATCGCCGTATTCTAAAAGCTCACTTACACTCAATGAGTGGAGGTTCAATCTGAGCTTCCCTTTAGTGTCAGTGCTGTTTTTTAATAGCTGGAGGGTGAGTAGTCACATAGTAAGGTACGACACTAACTCTCCAGCTATTCAAAAACAGCATTGACACTCAAGGGAAGCTCAGATTGAACCTCCACTCATTGAGTGTGAGTGAGCGTTTAGAATACGGGCGTATACCTCGCAAATTCTCCCACGAGACCAGGTTCGGGGGGCAAGCATGCATGCCCTTTCAATAAACAATTATTGGGGGAAAATAAGAAAAATCTGAAAATAATGCACGAATTTTTACCTCAATAAATGCATTAATATAAGGCTTCGAAACTGTAAAAATTTAAGCTTTTTATGTAAATTGTAAGCCTGTTTTCAAGAATACATCAGTCGTGTTGACATCTTCGCATGCGTGAAAAGACTGGGGCAGCCCTTCAAGTTTGACTTCACTGAAATTTTCGGTTGCAGGTATAGCGTCCCAGTTATACGAGTTATGTTCATTTCACCGTTCAGTGGTCAGAGCGCCGAGGTTGTTCTAGTTCTAGCCAGTCTAGGTTTATTCCCGTTTGGGACAATAATTTTTTGGCTTCATTTCAACAGATTGAAACTCATTATTTGACCTCCATTCCCTTTGTGTTAAACTCTCGTGGGATTTTTAAAAATCTTTAAATCTACTTATAGCATATTAAGTAATTCTTGGAATCTTGGCTCGATGTGTACTATAGATTCTGATCACCTCGATCCGTGAATACAGATCATCCGTCAAACGGACATCCGACTCAGAATCAGAGAACTGTTCAGAAGCAGTATTAAAGGCTATATAGCCTATAGCTATAGATTAGCACAATTGGCAATGGAACAATTTATGTCTAACATCTTCTTGAAAGTTCGCAATGTCAAATGTGTTTTTTTTGAACCCATAAACCGATTTTTTTTCGTATTTTTTGTCTATGTTGACAAACTAATTATCAAACCAGCAAAGATTTTGTTAACCATCCGTTTCTAAGACTATACACACGTGTAAATCTCGCAACTTGTCAACAAGATGTGTTCGCAACAGGCTTGTAGCAAGCTTGTCAACAAGTTGTAACAATGCTGTTATTTCATCAAGTTGTTACTCACAACTTGTTGACAAATTGTTGAATTGCAGAACGATAAAAAGTTGTTGGAACAACTTGTAACAAGTCTGTTGAGCTTGACAACCTTGTAGCAAGTTGTCAACAAGCTGTTGACAACCTGTGAACAAGCTGGAAACAAGCAGTGCGAACACATCCTGTTGACAAGTTGTTGGAACAGCATTGCTACAAATCTGCTGCAGGTTTGTTACAACTTGTGTGTTTTTATATGTGTGTACGACTCTATAGTAGGTTTATTCAAGAACTCATCGTAGAAATAAAATTGAAATGTGAGTTATTAGACCTAATTCTACAAATCTGGTTGGTTTCGGAACCCGATACCTAAAATGGTACACGGTGTTCTTGCAAATTTTAGCACGGTTCCAAATATGTTATTTAGGCCACTCCAAATTAGACTACTTAGTTTCCTGTCCGACCCTATAATCAAATTTCCACAACCCATTCGTTCCATGAAATAGATACAAGTTCTAAATATCCATTCAGCGTTTCTACGGAATGTCTTGGATTTTTTGTATGCAGAAATGAAAGCCAGGATATTAATCAATCTCATCCTTTTATTACGTTCGAAAATCAAAACGTGTAACGGAAGGGTCTAGCTCGGCGGTTACTGTAGTAAAAACGAACAAAAACAACAATTCACGCTCTTTCATAAAAGTTAAGTCAACAATTTTATTTCGATTTTTAAGTATTACATTATAAATATGTATTTCTTGAACGACAGATTATTCGAAAACTGTGAATTTTCGTTCTTCTTAGTCACAAGAGGGTCTGAATGGGGTTAATTAACTGACTACTGACATTTGCCTGAATTTTTGACTGACAACTGACAAAATATCCTAACTGACTACTGAGAAATGATGAAAAAAATTATAAGTCAGCATTTTGCAGTAACTGACTACTGACAGCTTGCAATATATCGCACTGACAACTGACAATTGGCTTAAATTTTAGCTGACAACTGACACCCAAAGACCCCCATTAAGACCCTCTCACAAAGGTCAAATAATGGAAACGAGTTAGCAATAATGGACAAATCATACGGCCAGTTCTAGGAGACGCGGGCCGAGGACGGGAAACTAACGCCCGTGTTCTAAAAGCTCACTCACGCTCAATGAGTGGAAGTTCAATCTGAACTTCTCTCGAGTGTCATTGCTGTTTTTGAATAGCTGGAGAGTTAGTGTCGTAGCGTACTATGTGACTACTCAGTACTCACCCTCCAGCTATTCAAAAACAGCACTCATGAGAAGCTCAGATTGAAGTATTGAACCTCCACTGTGAGTGAGCTTTTAGAATACGGGTCTAAGTCTAATTTGGAGTGGCAATATACATTCATTTATACATTTGTCCGTTCCATTTGTAGTTGACAAAATTGTGGCTCAAGACCAAGCAATCCAGCTGTGTTCATCGTCCAGTTGTGCGCGCGAAGAGCACTATCTACGACATCTACGGCTGCGAAATCCGAATTCATTTAGAATTCAGATTCATTTCAAGATTTGTAATGATCATTAGATAACCAAAGTCCCGTCTTCTCTTTCTAGATAGCACTTGCTTAACTACAACCAGAACAGTTTAAACATGCCAAACTTTGTTGTATAAACGCAAACAGCTTTAAGACGCAGACGCCAGGAATAATTTGTAAAGATTAGTAAGAAAATCCTATTAGGAAGCCACATGTCGAAAGAGTGTTCATGAAAATTTGGCCAGTCGCTCCAGAATGTAACAAACAGGCTAATTGAAACTTTTTTGAAAAATCGGATGGAATGAACGTAACTTTGTACAGCTATATGTATATAAACTTGTATTTATGATACGGTATGTTAGAAATTCAATATATGTTTATATAAGCCGGTCATATAGTGTACAGTATAAAGACTTGATGAAATTTTATATAAGAAACATTTTTAAACTGGATAAAATGTATACGTACCCACAGGAACAAATTTGACATATACATTTCTTCATAGCAAGATTCTAGAACTCTAAATTCCTTCTTTTGTAGATGGCTTTGGGATCATACCGTTCAATCACGGCTTGGAATGAAAGATCATTTTCGAGTGCATTATAAAGTTTGTTATCATGTTACTGTAGCCATGGTTACAGCTGACGTGGTTGCCATGGTGGTTTCCAAGGCAGACATTGCTTGATGTAGTTTGTCGACGCATAATGACTTCTGGGAATGATTACGAGTTATTGCCATTGGCCATTGATTCAGTATATCCATAACTTCAAATGACGGAGAAAATTTCGTCACAGACTATGCCGCAGGAAAGCAATAAATCCACTAAAATAAAAATGCTGTTTTGCATTTTGCATAATTGCATCTTAAATGGCCGTTCTGTGAATCTGTGATCACAGAAACATTGACTTATAAAATGGTTCGACTCGACAGCCCAATGGTACGTTAGGTCGACTAGGTCCGGAGCCTCCGGAGGTCTAGTGATTCCGAAGATGCGAGTTCAAATACCGCTTAGAGACAACGAATTTTGTCGTTGTTCTTGGCAGTGTCAGTATAATGCGACTGACTATTTTTTCATTATCTGGGTGCCGTGTTTACATTTCGGTCGGCAGTTCATCAATATAAAACTATGGTATTAACATAACAACAGACTTAACTTTAGCCTAGCATGCATACTTCAAACACTCGTGTGTTCTATTCGTAATCAAGACCGCAAATCTATTCTGATATAAAAAACGTGTTCAGTTTGAAAGGATTTTATTTCCTTTCTATTTCTTTTCTTGCCGATTCAAACATTAGAATCCTTATACTGATTCCGGCGATTTAAATAGGATCACCTATAATGCTATATAATATATTTCACTAACTTATGACTCGTTTACACTGTCAACTAAAGTTTCTGTCTGATCACAGTAGTCAGTAGGAGTTTTGAATAGGTGAATTCTGAGTTTTGAAGGATTTGTAAGAAATGTTTAAGAGACTAACTGACTCACTATGGTAACAAAACAACCGATCTAACTTTAGCATATACTTCAAACACTCGTGTGGTTCTATTCGTAATCAAAACCGCAAACCTAATATAAAAAACGTGTTCGTTTTCAGAAAGAATTTTATTTCCTTTCTCGCGGTGTGTACAAAAAGCGATTCAAAACTATCTTAACACAACCCTTACATACTGTTTCGATTTACGGTTCCTAAGATATAGCGACAACGGTGGCTCAGTTTCATGAGATCAGTGTTGCAATACTCGAGTCTTAATTATGACTCGGATCGACTTGAACACATCGGACTTGGACTCGATATCAAAGAACTTGACTGGTGTCTGGACTTGGGAAATTAGCTCAAATCCTGTACGAGTCCATCAATTGAATCAAGTTCCTCATTGACATTGTCTGATATTGATATATTATAGTAGGGTCACGTCGTGACTTCTGCAAAAATACAATTGAGAGTCTGTGGATTGTGAAAATATTGTAAACCATTAGCTCTCAGCACTATATTATAATCTTATTGGAAGCAATCTCACTTCGTTTTGGTAAATTTAATTTTGGGGATTCTTAATTAAATTATCATTTTATTGAAATGATAAATTATTATATTTTAATTATCATTTTGGATTTTGACTCGAAAACTTTGGACTTCAAATTTGACTCGAAAATTTTGGACTTCAAATTTTGCTAAGGGATTCGGACTTGACTGTACAGGACTCGGATTCGTATACTGTGGACTTGGCATACGGCATTACCAGGTCATCACGCAAACTCCAGTTCAACAATGTGTTCAACGATAGTAACGATCATGCACGTGTAATCGTGAAATGTTGCAAAATGTTCAATCGAAATTTTAAATAAAGTCAAATTCGATCGAACATCTTCAAACATGAGCAAACATTACCCAACATAGGGACTGCTTACATTGGGAGTTTTCAGCCCGGGCTGAGATTTCAACTGAAATTCTAACTCATTGCTGGTTTGAATTACCGACTGAAATTCTAACTCATCCCGGTTAACCGGGTTGAGATTCAGCCTGGGCAAGGCTAGATGGGTTGAATTAACAGGTCCAGCCAGGGGATTACCAGAATACCAATATACTCAATATACTGACAAATATACAAGTATACCAGTAAAATTTCACGCTATGTCTGTCTACCCGAATACGTACTTAATCCTGGCCCTTGGGTGAATGTCGGATACTTTATAGCCATATTTCAACCTATTTGAACAATAAAATACTGCATACCAAAAGCAAAATGATCTAAATACCAATATACCTGAACACCCCATGCAGGCCGCTTGAAGTAAACTCCTCATGTAAGGATTGAAAACTTTCAAAAATATAATTCTATAATTTTTGTTTTTTTAATTTCAAATTGCGATTGTATGTTGAAATGATTTTGTTTTTTTATGTACTTATTAATTTTAAGTTTATATTTTAATTTTTTTCTTATGAGTTATGGCAACGCCGGATTGGCCACCATATACATCTGTTCTGTATCAGTGGACAACCGCTTAATTATTTACGCTTGGGATCAGGTCAGAGGGATCAAGTTGTCAACGATTTGTTTCCAGGAAACACAACACTCTTCCACGAAAACAGTAGAATAGCCCGGATGCAATACGCTTAATTTTAAACCGAAACCACAGAATAGACATCGGCCGAAACTAGTATTGTTTGTCTTGTACATTTTTAATATCATGGAGTCAGCTTTGTATTTATTTCTGCAAGAAGCAACACAAGAGCTTTTGTACAATATTGTTTATGATGTGTGCAAGGTAAGAAACAATGATGAAGGAATTGAATATCGCAAACTGAGTGAAACATTTCAGGAAGAATTTGGCAATCGACCTATGGATTTCTTCGACATTTACGCAATAAAAGGTTGGAAAATGTTTATAGAGTCGTCGCCTGGACTGCGTATTTTTGAAGACCAAGTATCGATCGTTGAAGACGAAAATGGTATGTCTAATGCGTACGAGAAATATAACAAAACCAAAATACATCTTACGGACGAAACGTTTAACATCACTGTCGCAAAGTATCGCCAAATTCTCATCCAGAAAGCTTGCAAATTAATTAGCACTCATGGTGTCGCCGATGTACACGGAAATACTCCTTTACATTTCATCGCTGCTCTACCGAGTATCGACCACCAACCGTCACTGGTAAAGCACTTATTAGATGCCGGTTTTGAGCCACTGAGAAAAAATAACAGTGGTCAAACTATACTTCACATAATCGCCGGTAGAATGGAAGCGAACGTTTGTAAAAACGAAGAAAATGGTGTTAATATAGATTGGGAATCATTTGGAAAGAGCACATTTCACCCAAGTGGATGGCCTGCTAATGATAGAACAGCCCTTCTGAAACTTATCGCCTCAGAGTTATCGCACAGAGAGCTCACTGTATTAGCAAATACACCGAACAGAGATGGAAACACAGCGATGCATGAGTGGGTCATCTCTTTATCAACCATAAATCCTCGTGGCTTACAACTTGGCTTTGAAGTGGCAGAAAGAGAAATTGGCCTGCAATTATTGTCTTTCGGGGTGAACCTACGTCAACAGAATAACTCGGGAGAAATACCACTTCATTTTGCGTACAATTCAGAAATATTTCGGTTCCTACTTGAAAACAGCAAGCAGGAAAGTGTGGCTTGTTGTCGAACCAGAAACGAACGCGAGGAAACCCCGCTGTTGTGCATCTTAAATTACGCAACAAGTTTTGTATCGAACTCCACTGAAGAAGAGAGGAATATGACAGCCTTGTTCCTACTGCAACAATTAACGGAACTTGTTACGAAAAATGAACACGTTTGCAAGACAGCGTGGATGCCTGATGAAAATGGTAAGTCCGCTGTTGACATTATACTGAGTACTCTACGAAATACACCACACAGCACGCCGGAACCTGGTACAATTCTTACACAATTTTTCGCGCTATTTCGTTCATCGTCTCAGGAAAAAGATGCAACATTTTCTGAACTTCGTAAACATTTGATTTCATTACTTGAAAAAAGCCTTTCCGTTGCAAATGAATACGACATAAACCGACGGAGTCTCCTACATGTATTAATTGAGCTTGGCGATGAGGAACTGCTTCAAAGCCTTGAACTACTTTTGAAAAACGGGGCTGAAGTAAACGCAGTTGATTCAAAAGGTCGTACTCCATTGGATGTGATCAAGGAAAACAAGTCCAAAATGCCTTCGGCTAATTCTTTCTTCACTAAATGCGAAAAAAAGCTTCTACATTATGTAGCAAAGAGAGGAACTTCCTTGAATTCTTCTGTGGACCAAAGGCAAAGAACGTCAGGACCAAATATCGACAGCAAAGTGCGCAAAATATTGAACTGCCCAAAGAAACACTCAAATAGTGCACAACTCCTAATTAAAAACAACGACAAAGTCACTGTGGTAGATGGAAAATATCGTTATTCCCGTCAAGATCCGATTGGTTCGGGCGCATTCAGCTCAATCTTTGTCGCTGTGAAAGATGAAAACGAGGATAACAAATCTGGTACGATTAGCTGTCGCGCTTACGCTTTGAAGCGAATAGAGAAAGCAAAAATGAATGAAGGCGAGTTCAGACGCGAAATTAGGGTCTTGCTTTCCATATCTGGCGAGTGTGAGAATAATATCATCAAATATCACGAATCTTTTGAAGATCCTTTCTTTCATTACATTTGTCTAGATCTCATGGACGGTGATCTTCATGAGTTTGTCAAGAATAACTATGTCAATAAAGTTCTGAAGAATCCAGCAATACGTGTGCAAGTTATAAAAGGGATTATAAATGGCTTAGCTTTCTTACACGAGCGGAAATTTGTCCATCGCGATCTTAAACCTGAAAACATCTTGTACACAACAAATCCTGCTTTGATTTTCAAGATCACCGACTTCGGTTTGACGAAGAATATTTCCTCTTTATCCACGATGACGTTAACCCGAGGGAGTTGTGTTGCCATGGCACCGGGTACGCGACGTTGGATGGCGCCAGAGCTGGTGAGATTTGAATCAAAAGAGCACACCCAAGAGTCAGATATCTTTTCCTTGGGATTAGTTCTTCATTATCTTCTCACTCTGGGAAAGCATCCTTTTGAAATGGGAACTGAAGAACCAGCTCACGTTATTGAGACAAGGATTGAAAAAGCGCAAATTCAGATCGACCAAGCACTTCATCCCGAAGCCAAAAATTTCCTTGGGACGCTTTTAAGAAACAATACTTCCGAGCGTCCGCCAGCAAAAAGCCTTAACCAGCATCCTTTTCTGTGGAGCGATACAAAAAAGATCGAGTTTCTTATAGCGGTTGGTAGCCAGCCAGAAGCTGCCAGTCCAACCAGTTATCCTGACTCGCCAGTGCCGCAACTTTTGCAAGCAACAACCATCGGGCAGTTGGTTGAGGATGTACCTTGGGATCAGGTTATCAAGGATCTGTTTGCAGAAATGACTGCAGCTCGGAAACACGGCAAGTATAGAACTGGCAAAGTAATTGATTTGTTGAGATTTATCAGAAATGCATACGCCCACAAGCAAGAGAGGTCGCCAGCGGTACAAGCTGTTCTTAACAGAAATGCTTTCCTTCACATATACCCTTCTCTTGTTCTCGACGTCATTGTTGTGGTACAAAAACTGGGTTTCGATAAAAGCCGCAGCAATATTCAACAAGCAATTGGGTTCTTTTTGGAGTAAAAAATGTAATCAGAATTTACGTGTATATAGTAGTAATAGTACTATGGTAGACGGACATTAGGATCGTTAAATCCAAATCGAACATTATTTAATCTGATCAGATTGGTAATAGACAATTCCCATTATTCCCAAGTTTTTCTATGACAAGTACACTTGTTCAAAAGCTAGCATGCTATCTTTTAAACAAGTGCACTTGTCGTAGAAAAACTTGTCAAAGTACAAATTTTGTTCGTCTGTATGGGTGAACAAAGAAAACTTGTCAAAGTAATCTGAGCATTTGATGTGATTGGCCAGCGGACTATTATAATTTTTCTGTCATAGCGAATTAATCATAGTGGCGATAAACACCTTTTTCTGATACGTTCACACCAGTAAATAAAACTTGTCATATGAAAACTTGTCATATAAAATTTGTTGCATATGCACACGTGCACTTGACAAATAAAACTTGTTCGTCTGTAACCGACTTAACGCTCATTAAGTAGGGTTAGTTCAAAAACTAAGGGCCCCATAAGTAAGGGCCTTTAATCTGAGCTTCCCTCGAGTGTCTGTTGTTTTTGAATAACTGGAGAATTAGTCTCGTACCTTACTATGGTGACTACTCACCCTCCAGCTATTCAAAAACAGCACTGACAATCAAGGGAAGCTCTGATTGAGCCTCCACTCATTGAGTGTGCGTGAGCTTTTAGAATACAGGCGTAAGAAGGCAATGGGAAAATGCAACATTAACGCCCGTATTCTAAACAGTAAAAGCTCACTCACACTCACACTCAATGAGTGGAGGTTCAATCAAAGCTTCTCTTGAGTGTCAATGCTGTTTTTGGATTACTGGAGGGTGCGCAGTCACATAGTAACGTATGGCACTACCCCTCCAGCTATTCAAAAGCAGCATTGACGCTCAAGAGAAGCTCAGATTGAACCTCCACTCATTGAGTGTGAGTGAGATTTTAGAACACGGGCGTAATAATGCTAAATAACAAAGCTTCCATCTGCAACGGTAGATGATTCTTTTATTCCATCTCAAGTAATAAATTTACGTGGTGTTTCCACAAACAAAACTATTATGAAACAAAAGTTATTCTTATTAGTTGTTACATGTCTTGGAGACTGTTATTGTTACTGTCATAGACACGGAAATTTTCCAGAACATTATGTGAATATTCAATATAAACATAATATCTCAGTCAAACAATGACAACAGTCAACAGGGGCCCCCACACAAATATGCCTAAGAATTCCTAAGAGCTACTTTCCACTCAGGAAAATTATCCGTGGATTGGAACGGACAAGAAAAGTTTTCTTTGTGTTAAAGTCATTAGTTCCAACCCCCAGAGCTCACAAGACAAAGAAGAATTTTCTTGAACGTTCCAATCCACGGATAATTTTCCTAAGTGGAAATTCGCCTTAAGAGCTACTTTCCACTCAGGAAAATTATCCGTGGATTGGAACGGACAAGAAAAGTTTTCTTTGTGTTAAAGTCATTAGTTCCAACCCCCAGAGCTCACAAGACAAAGAAGAATTTTCTTGAACGTTCCAATCCACGGATAATTTTCCTAAGTGGAAATTCGCCTTAAGAGCTACTTTCCACTCAGGAAAATTATCCGTGGATTGGAACGGACAAGAAAAGTTTTCTTTGTGTTAAAGTCATTAGTTCCAACCCCCAGAGCTCACAAGACAAAGAAGAATTTTCTTGAACGTTCCAATCCACGGATAATTTTCCTAAGTGGAAATTCGCCTTAAGAGCTACTTTCCACTCAGGAAAATTATCCGTGGATTGGAACGGACAAGAAAAGTTTTCTTTGTGTTAAAGTCATTAGTTCCAACCCCCAGAGCTCACAAGACAAAGAAGAATTTTCTTGAACGTTCCAATCCACGGATAATTTTCCTAAGTGGAAATTCGCCTTAAGAGCTACTTTCCACTCAGGAAAATTATCCGTGGATTGGAACGGACAAGAAAAGTTTTCTTTGTGTTAAAGTCATTAGTTCCAACCCCCAGAGCTCACAAGACAAAGAAGAATTTTCTTGAACGTTCCAATCCACGGATAATTTTCCTAAGTGGAAATTCGCCTTAAGAGCTACTTTCCACTCAGGAAAATTATCCGTGGATTGGAACGGACAAGAAAAGTTTTCTTTGTGTTAAAGTCATTAGTTCCAACCCCCAGAGCTCACAAGACAAAGAAGAATTTTCTTGAACGTTCCAATCCACGGATAATTTTCCTAAGTGGAAATTCGCCTTAAGAGCTACTTTCCACTCAGGAAAATTATCCGTGGATTGGAACGGACAAGAAAATTTTTCTTTGTGTTAAAGTCATTAGTTCCAACCCAGAGCTCACGAGACAAAGAAAATTTTTCTTGTCTGTTCCAGTTCACGGATAATTTTCCTGAGTGGAAACTAACTGCAATTTTCAGCCCGGTCAGCCCGGCGGGCTGAAATTTTCCGAGGACTGGGATTTCTGTCATGTAATCGCTCATGTGTTTTAATAGGATTTTATCCTTAGCCCGGGATCATGGGAGACCGGGAGACCAGGATGAAACTCATCCCGGGCTGAAAATCTCCATGTAATCAACCCCTTGTTCAAACGAGGTCAACAATATGTTAGATAAGGTAGTGCCTAGTGGATCGACATGTTGATTGTTGGTCTGAATGGCCTCGTTTGAGCAGATCTAGTTGATAAGAAAAGTCTAAAATTAGTGCAACCATAAATTACTATACATGTTAGGCGTCTGTATTCATAGTATTAAAGTATTAATTCTGTATTCATTCTTTTCAAATATATTTGTTCAGTGTTCAAAAGTGTTGAATACAATGATCGTAAAACGTTGTTCTAATATTGGACAGGTGCCTGTCGCTATAACTGCCTAACTTTTTAAACAAAATACTTAAAGAATTTGTCTTGTACAAGACAAGTTGACCAGACAACGTAACTCCGAACGGATCAACAGGTTAAGCTGTTTTGGCGCCAGATTGTCACAGTCAAATTGTTATACACAGACAGTGTTTTCAAAACGAATGCATTCCACTGATTGTGCCTTTGCCAAGAATATAGCAAAATTTAATTAAATTGAGCCTTGATCTGTAGTGGTAATTTAAAAATCCCAAACAGCCCAACAGCCTAGTCCAGCCTATATAAATGCAGATGAGTTGGACTTTGGCAAGTGCCGGATCATGACTGGAAACAGCTCATCTGGGTGGTTAGGATCAGTTTCAATCGTCGAGGTAGTGATTTGAAATCTTCCTCAGACGAAGGAACTACCATTTCAGAGACTCTATAGATTTCATGCCTTTTTTTGTGAAAGTGGGATAATTTCTCATTGGTATGAAAGTGGGATAATTTCTTATTGGCATGTAAGTTACGACAGGAATATATTCATTTATTAATTGTCATTATAAATTAGCAATTGTTATTCAAATGCAGATTCTGCGTTTCCAATGCCAAATAAATTGTAAAATAATCTGGTAATCCGTATCGATTCTGATCGCTGGCCAACTATGTGTGCACGGAGTAATATTGAAATATTAAATATATCTTTTATTAATTATATTTCAAAGGCACTAAAACCCGACAGCTGATAGATGGTGATTGTCTTCACATTGCCATCAATCGCCTTGTACATAGTGCGATATACCGCCGCGTAAATTACATAATGTCCAAAACTGTGATTGCATGCAAGTGGCGATATGGTATTAAACACGAGTTTATGTGAAGACACCTCAAAAATTTTGGGTAAGTAAATATTTTCAGAATACAATTATCACCTTTCGTAATTGGTTAGTTCATCAGTATCTTTCATTTCCGCGACCTCTGGGTACAATTCCTGCAATATTGCTGATTATAAATATGCCTCCGAGTCACATTTGATAACAATGCTTCAGTTAACGCTAGTTTACACTATCAAAGTTTACGGATCACAGCAGGATTGGATGATTTCAGTTATCGGCGAAATTTTGATCTGGACCAAGAAGAACGAAACCATTACCATAGCTGGAAAGAGCCGATCTTAAAATGAGTAAAATTGCAAATTTTGGTTGCAAATTGTTGTAAAATGAGGAAAATATAGCCCTGTGAAGTTCGCAAATTTTGTATATATTCGCATTACGCGGGGGGGAAATAACCATTTTTGAGCCGAAAGTGGTTATTTTTACCGCGCGTAATACAAATATATACAAAATTTGCGAACTTCGTTTTACAACATTTAGCATAATTAGCAACCAATCTTTGCAGTTTTACTCATTCCAAGACGCTCTTTCTAGCTGTGGTGTTGTATTTCGTTCTTCTTGCCTTGATCAAAATTTAGTCTATATATAGCTGGAATCGGTAAATTCTACGTTTTGAAGGATTTGTAAGAAATGTTTGACTGGGAACTGACTGAGTGTTAAAGACCAAATCATTTCCCTCAAACATTTCTGACAAGTCCTTCAAAACGTATAGAATTTACATATGCAAAATTCCTATTCCTATATATAGTATAACTTGGCCAGCCAGGCTCAGCCTCAGCAGGCTGATTCATTGCCAAGTATTTCCCTGGAACTTTCCGGCTCCAGTTCGGCAATCACTGGATCAATAAAGGATGGGCCGATGGCTCCTATTAGACGTCTAGGGCGAGAAAAAGTCAAAGCACCAATATAGAGCTTCACATTTATAAATAAGGTTAATTTAGTTGCATTTATTTCAATACAAATACTGCTCTAAAAGGTACAAATTCATGTCGCCTGTTTTTGATTACGTTTAATTCATCAACTTCATGCGCTATCGGTCGCGATAATCAGTCGTTGAAAGATCTATAGAGACTTCATTGAATAAACCCAAACGAAATATCACGGTTAATTTTAGTAATTAAACGCAGAAATTTAAAACTCTACGTAATTGATGATTCCAGCTTTTGACGAAATTTTGATCTAGGCAAGAAGAACGAAAGCCATTACCATAGCTGGAAAGAGCCGATCTTAAAATGAGTAAAAGTTCGGTCAGTTTACTCACTCATTCTCAAGGGTGGGTTGT